AAGGGGACCACAAGCAAGGAATGCAGGTGGCCTCTAGAAGTTGGGAACACCAGTGAAGAAACAGGGACCACGGCTTTATGTCTATGAGGACTAAATTCAGCCGAAAACCTTAATGACCAAGGAAACAGATTCTCCTGTAGATCCTCCAGGAAGAAACACAGCCCAGCTGACACCCTGAATTTGGCCCAATGAGCCTCATCCTGGACTTGTGACCCACAGAACTCTAAGGCAATGAATTGGTGTTTTTTAAAAAAATCTTTTACTAATCAGCCTTCTCAGGTTGAAAATGCATGTTAAGCCACTAAGTTTGTGGTAATCTGTTACAACAGCAATAGAAAACTAATACAAACCCACTTTCTGTGCTCTATCAGTATGTATTAGTCTTATCTGTTCTTGGACTTCATATACATGAATTTGAAAAAAAGTTTTTGAGACAGGATCTCACTCTGCCTCCCAGGCTGGAGTGCAGTGGTGCAATCACAGCTTACTGTAGCCTCAACCTGGGCTCAAGAGTGATCCTCCTATCTCAGCTTCCCAAATGATGGGACCACAGGTGCATGCCACCATGACTGGGTAATTTTTGTATTTTTTTAGAGATGGGGTCTTGCCACATGGCCCAGACTGATCTTGAACTCCTGAGCTCAAGCAATCTGCCCACCTTGGCCTCCCAAAGTGCTGGGATTACAGGTGTGAGCCGCCGTGCCCTCTGGACTTCATATAAATGAAATGAATACAGTATGAACTCTCTTATGTCTGCCTTCTTTCACTTAGTATGTTTTTGAGATTCTTCTAAATGTAATGGTAATTTTATTTTTTACTGCTTATTATTCCATTATGAATACACGACAATTGACTTATCCATTCTCTTATTGATGGACATTTGGGTTGTTTCTAGTTTTTTTTGCTATTACGAATACATATTCTTGTACAAGTCTTTTTGTAAACACATGCTTCATATTGTGAAATATGAATACCTAGGAGTGAAATACCTAGTAGTGAAAATGCTGGGTCACAGGATGCATGTATTACTTAATTTTAGCAGTGAGTTCCAGTTGCTCCATATCCTCAACACTTCACTGAACTGAGCACTTATGATCTGTGTAGTTTATTCTATGATTTTTGTTTGTTTGTCTTTTGAGACAGAGTATTGCTCTCTTGCCAGGCTGGAGCGCAGTGGCGCCACCTCGGCTCACTGCAACCTCTGACTCCCTGGTTCAAGTGATTCTCCTGCCCTAAGCCTCCTGAGTAGCTGGGATTATAGGCACACACCACCACGCCCAGCTAATTTTTTTCTTTTTGAGATGGAGTGTCTCTCTTGCCCAGGCTGGAGTGCAATGGCATGATCTCGGCTCCTGCAACCTCCACCTCCCGCGTTCAAGCGATTCTCCTGTCTCAGCCTCCTGAGTAGCTGGGATTACAGGCGCGAGCCACCAGGCCTGTTTTTTTTTTTTTTTTTTTTAAGTAGAGACGGGGTTTCATCATGTTGGTCAGGATGGTCTCAAACTCCTGACCTCATGATCCACCCACCTTGGCCTCTCAAAGTGCTGGGATTATAGGCGTGAGCCACTGCACCGGGCCCAGCTAATTTTTTTGTATTTTTTGTAGAGACAGGGTTTCACCATGTTGGCCAGGATGGTCTCAATCTCCTGACATCGTGATCCGTCCACCTCAGCCTCCCAAAGTGCTGGGATTACAGGCATGAGCCACCATGCCCAGGCCATTTATTCTGTTAAAAACACCTTAATAAAAATATTAGGAAAGAAAATATGTAACAGAACAGTGTTTCTATATGCACTGCATATAACCATCTTTGAATATCTGTGTCAGAAATGTGCTATGGATACAAGGAATAAGACAGAAAAAGGGCCGGGTATGGTGGCTCACGCCTGTAATTCCAACATTTTGGGAGGCTGAGGCAGGCCGATTGCCTGAGGATAGGAGTTCCAGACCAGCCTGGCCAACATGGTGTCTCTAAAAATACAAAATTAGCTGGGCGTGGTGAGCAGTGCCTGTAGTCCCAGCTACTTGAGAGACTGAGGCAGGAGAATCAGTTCAACCTGGGAGGTGGAGGTTGCAATGAGCAGAGATCGCACCACTGCACTCCAGCCTGTGTGACAGAGCAAGACTGTCTAAAAAAAAAAAAAAAAAAAAAAAAAAAATTGGTAATTTACCATTTTAATTAAATTAAATAATTAATTTACCAGAAAATTTTCCTTCTGGAAAATCACTCTAAAATGAAATGAACTTTAGTGGCTTTATAACTGAGCTCAGCCATCTAAATATAATCTTCCTATATACTTAATTTGCTACTAATTAAAGCCATAAAAAATATTTCTCTATTTCCATTTTAAGACATCTAACATTGCTGGCAGGAAGGTAAGCTGTTACAATCTCAATGGAGTAAAATTTAGTAATATTTTTCAAATTTATAAACGTTCCAAACCCTTTGACTCTGAAATTCCACTTGTAGGAACTTACCCTACATATTTATTTGCACACATGCACAATGTCTGTATAAGGCTATTCATATTAGTATTGTCTAGAATAGCAAAAGATTAGAACCAATCTTAAAAAAAAATCCACCAGTGGAGTTATTAGGCAGCTAAAAAAAAATGCTTTTTACTGTTTTAATTATGGAATAATTTCTAAGTGAAAAATAATACACACATTTTTTCTTGTGTATGCATATAATATCTAGAAAGATAGTCTAGAAACTGACAAGAATGGTCGTTTCTAGAGAGGAGAGCTGTGTATGTGAGTGAAAGAAGTGGAAGTCTTTATACCATTTACTCTTCTGAACTTCGCAGCACCATGTGACTATTAACTACTAAAAACACACATCTCTGCATTACTATAGTAGACATTTTAGGGGAGAATCATAATCTAAAGTAAAACCAGGATCCTTTGGTTAGAGATATAGAATTATGTAGCTTAATTTTCTGATGAAATTAGAAAAGTTTAAAGTTTGATCAGTTATTTGTTTTTTTAGAGATGGGGATCTCTCTGTGTTGCTCAGGCTGGTCTCGAACTCCTGGGCTTAGGTGATCCTCCTGTCTCAGCTTCCCAAAGTGCTGGGATTATAGGTGTAAGCCACTGTGCTGGGCCTTGATCAGTTATCACGTTAAAGAAACAATAAATTTATATTATAAAAGATGTAAAATGTATTCTAAGTCTACATCATGAGCTCCCAAATTGGTAATAATAGAAAACCATGGTTGGAGAGAAAGGGAAGGAAGATAAATTAATGGTGTGGTATATAACCACCATCACCTCTCTTGGGGCAAATGAACTATTAGACAGGCTTCTGGGCCAGGTGCAGTGGCTTACGCCTACAATCCTAACACTTTGGGAAGAAGAGGTGGGAGGATCACTTAAGCCGAGGAGTTCCGAGACTTGCAAGTGCAACATGTTGCAACCCTGTCTCTACAAACAAATAATAAACTAGCTGAGCATGGTAGTGTGCACCTGCAGTCCTACCTACTGGAGAGGTTGAGGTGGGAGGATTGCTTGAGCTCAGGAGTTCAAGGCTGCAGTGAGCTATGATTATGTCATTGAACTCCAGCCTAGGCAACAGAGTGAGACCTTGTCTCTGAAAAAAAAAAAAAAAATTCCAAACTCCCCTCCCTCAAAACAGGCTTCTATTTTGGGTATTATTTTTAACTTATTTATACATTAAACATCTAATTCATCTCTTGAGATGCTGATTTATAGAAAAAAAGAGACAAGTTAATGACGGCTACCTTTGAAGTCAGGCTTAAAATAGTAACAATTCTTTGACCTTATTTAGCCTTTTTCAACTTCCAGTGCATTTCCACATACATTATACTTTTTGTTCCCAAATCCTGTGCAGTAGATTTGAGCAGGTTTTATTTAGTTTATGTATGAGGAAAAAAAAAAAAAAAGATACCTCAGAGAGGCTGATTTGCCTAAAGTTGCATGAATTTTTTTTTTTTTTGAGATAAGATCTTGCTGTGTCACCCAGGTTAGAGAGCAGTGGTGCCATCATGACTCATTGCAGCCTTGGCCTCCTAGGCTCAAGCACTCCTCCTGCCTCAGCCTCCCAAGAGGTGTGTGCCACTATGTCCCAGCTAATTTTAAAAAATTTTTGTGGAGATGGAATCTTGCTATGTTGCTCAGGCTGTTCTCAAACTCCTGGGCTCAAGCTATCCTTTCACTTTAGCCTCCCAAAGTGCCATAATTTCAGGTATGAGACACTGCACCTGGCCTAGTTGCATGATTTGCATGAGCTGAAACACAGTACCCTGGTGCTTTCAGTATTAGTTTCCATACGTTCTAATTGTACCTCCCTAACCTTCAGCCCCTGCTCTCTCTCTCACTCTAATATCTCACAATCAATTATTTTTTTGCTGTTCATGTCTTCTAAGGGAAATGACAATTTTAACTTTGGTGTAATATTTATTACAGCTATCTACTTAAATTTTTTTTAATGTACAAAAATTGCATTAAAACATCAATATGCAATTATTTTCCCACCACTCAAAAATTTTAATATGTATTGAAGATTTTGGCAAAAAAATATGCAAAAGACAAGAAATATAAAAATAACTTACAACAAATTTCTAAAATCCCTCATATATTAAAATTGGTAAGACAAAAATATGATTTATAATACATGTTTGCCATTGTGTTATATATAAGAAAATAGTACTCATACTAAATTCAACCTACTTATCAAAATTCTTAATATAAGAATGAAAATATTCAGATAGTTATAAATAGACAGGTATTAAAAAGTTTCTTTTGGACAACATTCTTTGGTGCTGATAAAACTGCATGTTATTATCTATCGTAAAGTCTTTTCAGACTTTACTACATATCTAGTTACAACTGGAAATGAAAAAAATATAAATTGGATATGACTATAGAAAGTAGTTACAGGGTATTTTGATTTCGTGGTGCTCAAATGTTTATGGACAAGTTTTACTTATTAAATTTTGAAATAACTACCTATTCTTTGGTATTTCTTATATATGTTCCAGAAATTAGAAAAAAGTTACCTCGATAGGCAGAGAATTCAACTGTGAGTTGACAATTATTTACGATTGTATTAACTGGCTGTTTCACAACATTATGGAGCTAAGAGAGGATGAAAGCTTACCACTGCTTGGATACCAGCTTGATAAGCAGCTTGGAATGTCAAATATATAACAAGAAATGAAATATTCTACTTTAAAGGAACATGGTAAGTAAATGAATAACATGGACACAACTTAGTATAAGTTCTTTAACCTAATAAATTATTCATTTGCAAATATTACCAAAAGTAAAAAAATTTATTTTATAGAGTGGTTGATTTTTGTAATACATCAAAAACTGTGATGTTATACACTTCCCTATTCTCACTGCTTATCTCATATCAGTGGTTGAAGTTTCTCCCAAATAATTTAGTTTACATTTAAAGTGGCAATACAGATTTTACTTAATGGACTTAAGTTATAATTAGAAACCAGTTTTATATACAGAAAATCCATAAATATAGAACTTTTATTCCTATTTTATCCTTAGGCTATGCAAAAAATGGACTAAAAATTTTTCATTTGGGTCTTTGTAATAAACATGTAAATACATATTTACAATGGAGATGCTTCCTGATAGAAAGTAAACAGAAGTAATTTTGGTCTTCACTAGAATCCATCATATCTATTTTTGAAGATGATGTAATACATCATGTTTACTCAAAATTTGATTCCTTTTATACACATAATTTAAATAATTACTCCACTTGTACCATAATGCTTCATTCTGTATTTAAATTTCCTTTAAGAAAGATTCCATGATCCAGTAGTAGGGAACTCTGTTTCTGTACAGTTAATGTGAAATTTTATCCTTCTGGCAATGTCACAAATACTGAGTCATTTAATCTTCATTGTTCATACTCCAGAGGTAATTCTTGAGTTATCTCACATGATGTAAGTACCATCTTTGCAGTATTTCATGGACTCCATTTGTTTTGTCATAGCAAGAACATCATGAAATCCAGTACTTAGGCCAGACATATGTTGAAAGTATGCCTCCTTTTCCACTTGAATTGTTAAATTGTTTACTCCAGCATCTTTAAGTATTCCTGTAACCTGTTATAAAAATCCAGACATTTTGAAGCATTTAGAGTAATGCATTTAGTACACATGTCTTAATATGCTGTACATTGTTGATACGGGTAGAGTATCTTTAATCTGAAAATATGAAATCTGAGATGCTCTAAAATCTGAAACTTTCTGAGTGCCAAGATGGTGCTAAAAGGAAATGCTCATTGGAGCATTTTGGATTTGGATTTTCAGATTAGGGATGCTCAACTGGTAAGTGTAAGGTGAGTATTAAAAAAAAAAAATCCCAAATCGAAAACACTTCTGGTCCAAGCATTTTAGATAAGGAATATTAAACCTGTGTCACATTTTTAAAATAGTTACAGGCCGGGCACAGTGGCCCAGGAAGGCTGAGGCAGGAGGATCGCTTGAGCCCAGGAGTTTGAGACCAGCCTGGGCAACACAGTGAGATCTTGTCTCTAAAATGAATGAGTAAACAAACAAACAAACAAACAAACAGTTACAGCAGTCCAAGATAAATCTTCAAAGTAATGTTCATCATTTAGTTAGTTAAAGTATTAGGCTCTTTTAGGTCAGTAAATTACTGATTTGACATTCACAGTAGAAAAGGAAAACAGCCATTGTTTCCAATTTGGCACATCTAGAATAGGGCTTTCAGTAACTGTTCTGACCTCTATCTCCAAACATAGCATATACCCTGCCAAGTTGATTATTACTAATTTAGGAGTATATTTATAATAACTTATTTTTTGATAATCTACTGGGAACCAAGATGCACCAAATTCATAAATGAATTTTTTTACATTAACTAAAGCTTATCCTCTAAACACAAAACTTCATTAATTTTAGCAATTTTTAGATATAAAACAAATCTAGACGTAAAAAGTAAGTGATATTATCGTTACAGAGTTGGAAGATTAGGCTGGGAACAATGGCTCGCCTATAAACCCAGCACTTTGGGAGGTCGAGGCGGGTGGATCACCTGAGGTCAGGAGTTTGAGACTAGACTGGCCAACATGGCGAAACCTCGTCTCTACCAAAAATACAAAAAAAAAAAAAAAAAAAAAAAGGCAGGCATGGTGACGGGTGCCTATACTCCTAGCGACTTGGGAGGCTGAGGTAGGGAGAACTGCTTGAACCCAGGAGGCGGAGATTGCAGTGGGCCGAGATCATGCCACTGCACTCCAGCCTGGGCAACAGAGTGAGACCCTATCTCAAAAAAAAAAAAAAAGAGTTGGAAGATTGATATTTTTGAATAGTAAATGACTACTGAGCCATATAACTTATGAGGTGTACAATTTGGGGTATGAATTACCTCAATTGAAATTACTTTAAAAACAAAATACTTTACCTGCTGTACTATTCTTTGTTCTAGCACATCAGATGTCACCTGTATATGAATCGTTCCTGCCACAATACTAGCAGAATGACGCCAAAAATGAGGGTCTCGGTATGATATTAATCCTTCAATTTTCTGTATCTGTCAAATAAAAGAGGTGACATAAACGGTCATACAGGCTACTTTACATAACGCAATGGAGATACTTTCTGACAGAAAGTAAACACACAGGTTCCTTGGTCCAGGATCACTATTAAGCTCATTAAAAAAAAAAACAAAACAAACAAAAAACCAGCCATAATGAGGAGAAGCCAGAAGCAGGAAGGAATAGAAGAGGGGAAATTAGCTTAAAGTAAAGGTGCCTAAAATAGTCTGATCTATTTCTGGAGGCTACAGATGTGTGGGGGGAAAAAGATATCTCACCTAGGAATGATGCTAGTATGGCAGCTCTGAGTTGGAAGGCAAATGGGTCTTATAGATATCTTTATTTTGTTTGTTTTTTTTTTTTTTGAGACGGAGTCTTGCTCTGTCGCCAGGCTGGAGTGCAGTGGCACCATCTCAGCTCACTGCAACCTCTGCCTCCTGGGTTCAAGCAATTCTCCTGCCTCAGCCTCCCAAGTAGCTGGGACTATAGGTGCACACCACCACGTCTGGCTAATTTTTTTTTTTTTTTTTGGTATTTTAGTAGAGATGGGGTTTCACCATGTTGCCCAGGCTGGTCTCGAACTCGTGAGTTCAGGCAATCCGCCCACCTCGGCCTCTCAAAGTGCTAGGATTATAGGCGTGAGCCACCGTGCCCAGCTGCTACAGCTATCTTTATACCTAAAATGGGCTCTTATCAACAGCAGTACCCTTATTTTCACTGATACAGCACAACTCTGCCTATTCTAACCATTACTAGACACATTCAATGAACTACAAGGTCTCATTTACACGGATACATTCATATGCACATTATTTGTTATAGAGAGATAACATGTTCAAAAGATATCCTCAATGTTCAACAACAGAGGATTGGTTAAATAAATTATTGACTACCCACACAATGTAATACTGCAGTCATTAACAATGTATTAGAATATTAATCAACATGACATTATTAAGTGGGAAGAAAATTTATAAAACACTACAAAAGCTTTTTATAGAATGGGAAGGAAACAAAAGTGTTTCTTTTTGTTTCCTGACAAAATTCCTGGCAAAATTATGTGACTTTTTTTTCTTTTTTTCACTTTTCTGTATTTTGAAGTTTTCTGCAAAGGGCGCATATATATATATACACACATTATTTATATATATGCTTATTATATATTTTTCATATATATATATATTTTTAAGACAGTCTCACTCTGTTGCCCAGGCTGGAGTGCAGTGGTGCGATCTCCGCTCACTGCAACCTCTGCCTCCTGGGTTCAAGCGATTTTTCTGCCTCAGCCTCCTGAATAGCTGGGACTACAGGCACACGCCACCACACCCAGCTAATTTTTGTATTTTTTGTAGTTTTAGTAGAGATGGGGTTTCATCATATTGACCAGGCTGGTCTTAAACTCCTGACCTTGTGATCTGCCTGCCTCAGCCTCCCAAAGTGCTGGGATTACAGGTGTGAGCCATCACACCCGGCCTGCAACAGACATATACTATTATTGAAATAAAAAATACTTTAGGCCAGGCGTGGTGGCTCACGCCCATAATCCCGCACTTTGGAAGGCCGAGGCTTGAGCTCAGGATTTCAAGACCAGCCTGGGCAACATGGAGAAACCCCAGCTCTATTTAAAAACAAAACAAAACAAACACAACTTTAAAAAACCCCATGATGTACTACTATCCACTAATTATGAGGTGAGAGAAACTTTACTAATTTCATTTATGAAAACAATGGGTTAAGATGATAGAACTTAAATATTCAAGATGCCATCTTTTCATCAGCAGATCCCAATTCTTTAATATGATGTAGTAAACCACAAGGTGAAAGACAGTCTATTTTATATTTGTTTATTTCTAGGAATTGCTGGTTTATATTCTCATCTTATTTTTCTACATGACTGTTTTTTCCTTTGAGACAGAGTCTTGCTCTGTTGCCCAGGCTGGAGTACAGTGGTGTGATTTTTGGCTCACTGCAACCTCTGCCTCCTGGGTTCAAGCGATTATCATGCTTCAGTCACTCAGGTAGCTGGGATTACTGGTGTGCGCTACTACTACACCCAGCTAATTTTTTTTTGAGATGGAGTCTCACTCTGTTGCCCAGGTTGGAGTGCGGTGGCACGATCTCAGCTCAATGCAAGCTCTGCCTCCCGGGTTCATGCCATTCTCCTGCCTCAGCCTCCCAAGTAGCTGGGACTACAGGCGCCCACCACCCCGCCTGGCTAATTTTTCGTATTTTTTTTAGTACAGATGGGGTTTCACCGTGTTAGCCAGTATGGTCTCAATCTCCTGACCTCGTGATCTGCCTGCCTCAGCCTCTCAAAGTGCTGGGATTACAGGTGTGAGCCACCGCGCCCGACTCTAATTTTTGTATTTTTAGTAGAGATGGGCTTTCACCATGTTGGCCAGGCTGACCTTGAACTCCTGGCCTCAAGTGATCTGCCCACCTCAGCCTCCCAAAGTGCTGGATTACAGGCATGAGCCACCATGCCCAGCTAAGATTGTCTTTTTCTTGACTTAAAGTATTATGCACAGTAAGCCTTTGCCTGTTTATATGTGCTGCAAATGTTTTTTCCTGGTCTGCCTTTTGTGTTTTATATTTGTTAATGAAATCTTCCACCAACTGGCAATTTTCAACTGGTCAAATTTGTAAATTTTATCCTCCCTTTTCGGCTTCTGGTTTCAAGTATATTAAAAAGGCTTTCCCTATCTTTGTGATTATAAACATATTTTTCTGGCCAGGCGTGGTGGCTCACACCTCTAATCCCAGCACTTTGGGAGGCCGAGGTGGGTGGATAGCTTGAGGTCAGGAGTTCAAGTCCAGCCTCACCAACATGGCGAAACCCCGTGTGTACTAAAATATAAAAATTAGCTGGGTGTGGTAGGCCTGTAATCCCAGCAACTTGGGAGGCTGAGGCAGGAGAATCGCTTGAACCTGGGAGGGGGAGGTTGCAGTGAGTTGGGATTGCGCCACTGCACTCTAGCCTGGCAACAGAGCAAGACTCCGTCTCAAAAAACAAACAAAAATATTTTTCTGTTTAGTAGTTTCATAATTTTTTTGTCATTTACATATTTAATCCACTGGAAATGTATTTTTATGTAATATGGCATAGAGATAATAGCTTTTTTTCCCCACCAAGTAGAGAATTAACTGAAAGTGGGTTGTTTATGTCAACTATTTCTCCCCAGTGATCTAAAATACCATCTTTGCTATATACTGAATTCTATAAACTCCTGTGTCTGTTTCTGGACAACCTATTATTTTTATTTCTTCTTTTACGCTATATACCATAATTCTTCATTTATTTTCATTTTTTATTATTTCTTCTTTTACAGATGACCTATTATTATTATTGTTACTTTTTTTTTTGCACTGCCCAGGAAATAATCCCAGGTCACAAGAATGGGAATTTATTATTTTTTTAAAAGTTGATTTATGTCTTTATTCTTGTGCAAGGACCAAACTATTAGTTTTGTCACTTAATTCTGTTACTTTATAATTACAAAGTAGGATCCTATTAATTAATTCTGTATGTTTTTTTATTCTCAAGCACTAACTCTTCCAAGTAAGTTCCAAATAATTTTAGAACATCACAAACCATAAACAAAAATATCCAATGAAGACAACTAAATTGAAATCTAAATAAAATAAAATCAACATCATTATAATAGTCTTCTCATCCAAGAAAATCTCATCCATCTACTCAGTCACTATTTTATGTCCTTTAAATAAAACTGTATTTTTCTCATTTATACCTTGCATATTTCTTGTTAGGTCAACTTATTAAATTTTAAATGCTACTTTATATTTCTTTTTTGGCCTCTTTTTGTTTTGTTTTATTATTTGGGTGTCTATTTTATTTCCAGCAAAGACTTCAAAAATGTGATTTTCAAGGAAGAAAGTAGTGAAGAAATTACATACAGTACCTTTTCTAAAGCAATATGTAGTTCTTTTTCATATTCTGGTGGCAATCTCAGTAGTAGAACCTGGCAGGCATCTTTAATCAGTGGAACAACACTGAGAAATATTAATATAGCAATAAAAAGAGAACAGAGTGGGTCAGCGATGAACCATCCAAACTGCTCTATAAGAATTGTGGATACAATCACACCAATGCTGCCAAGTGTATCTGCCAAAACATGTAGAAATACACCTACAAATAAAATATATAAGGACATTAAAAATTAAGGCACATCTAATTTAGTTTTTTAATACATTCTACCAATATTACTGGATACCTACAGTGTACCACATACTCTGCTACTGGCTAGTACTTCAAAATGCCTAAAACATGATCACTGCCCTCAAGGAATTCAGAATACAGTGGTAAAAACATAAGGACATGGGCATTCATGACACAGCGTGCTGAATTTTATGGTGTACTTTGTCTGGAAAGCCTTCCCAAAAATCATACTTGAGGCAAGTTTTGACATTACCCAAATTACTTATAATAAGCAATCAGAATAAACAATTCATCATAATAAATGATTAGTACTTCCTCCTTTTTTTTTTATAGTGCAATAAAACTTTCTAAAAAAGGAGTAAGAATTTCCTTTTTGTAATGAGGGTTCATAATAGCACACTGTATTTACCTTGCAACTAATATCTATTCAGCTGTTACTATGAAAAGGACTCTATAATTATAATCATTTAAACACTAACATTTAAGAACAAATATATTTTCATTTTCTTTTTTTTTTTTTTTTGATACAGAGTCTCACTCTGTTGCCCAGGCTGGAGTAAAGTGGTGTAATGTTGGCTCACTGCAACCTCCACCTCTCAGGTTCAAGGGATTTTCGTGCCTCAGCCTCCTGAGTAGCTGAGACTGACTACAGGCGCCTGCCACCACACCCAGCTGTTTTGTATTTTTAGTAGAGACAGGGTTTCGCCATGTTGGAGGGACAGGTCTTGAACTCCCGACCTCAGGTGATCTGCCTATCTCAGCCTCCCAAAGTGCTAGGATTACAGATGTGAGCCACCGTGCCTGGCCTCATTTTCTTTTTAAAAAATTTTCTGTGACGGCCGGGCATGGTG